CCTGCCTCGTGAGGCCAGGGGGATGCCCGCGAGGACGGCCTGCTCGCCCCGTGACAGCACGGAGGGAGCTCACCCGTGCCTCAGAGCCACACAGCCCTCATGCGAGTGAGGCCGCATCCTGCGTCCCGGGCCCTTCACCACCTCCCCCCGCAGCCCGGGCACCTGCACGCCGCACCTGGGGCTTTAACACCTGCAGGTCGCTACGTCACCCAGGGCCGAGCGTGTAGGAAAGCTGCCTCGGGGTTTTCCACAGGAGGGAGAAGACAAAGGGCGAAGCCACGCGGCAGGGCGCGGGAGAGGTGAGGCCGGGGCGCGGACAGAACAGCCACGACCGGGGCGAGGGGAGGGGGAGCCACTGTGAGGCGCCACACAGGGAAGCAGAGCCAGGTCTGTGGGTCTGTTCGCGGACGGGATCACACGAAGGAGGTACAACAGGGTGACACCAGGGTGGCCCGTCCAGTCTCCGTGGAGAAACCTCCGAACGCAATCGTTCCCCTGGGGGGCTCGCAGGCCGGCCGTGAGTGGTGCAGGCAACGGCCAGTGGCCCCGAAGGAACACACAGGGAGTGGGGTTCGGAGGCCTCACGAGTGACTGGAGGCTCGACCAACCGGGGCACGGGGACCCTGGCTTCGGACTCCCTGTGGGCATCACTTCGCGGAGGGGAGGACGGCCTCCTCTCCCCCAGCAGACGCGACCACGTGTACAATAACCCAAGAAGAAAAAGAAACGCCCTCTGCGCTGTCCCCACAGGCCGGAAGCTCGGGACGCCCACCAGAGGGAGGTGAGGGAGTCCATGCCCATCCGCGCGCTCCGTGCCTCCTGGGCGTGCCGAGCTGTCGCTTCCACAACCCAGGCTGAGGGAGGCGGCCCCGGAGGAACATGGTGTGGCCGTGGAGCCGGCAGCTGGGGCCCCCGACCCCCACGCCAGTCATGAAGTCCGAACACCTGACCCAGAAGGGACCCTGAAGCCCTGGGGCACATGCCGGGCAGGGCTGGGCTCGGTGCTGCCATGCTCCAGCCCCAGCCCCCAGAGCGCACCGGCTATCACTGCACAGGCCCGTGTGGAACAGCGACACCCCGCTCCAAGTCCCTATTAACATGCCACTCACAAGGCATTTTTAATTTTAGGACGATATCAGAAGAATAACATGGAACCAACTAAAGGAATTTCAGCACAGATGACAAGATTCTGGGCCTGTGACCCCACGGACCTGTCCCACCCGGGAGGTGCCCATCCCATGCGTCTGGGACCCACGAGGGACACTGGCCAGCCCGAGGCTACAGATGGGCCCAAGGCCTCACGGGCACAAGACCCTGCTCAGGCACCGGCCGCAACCACCCACCCCACCCCACCCCGACCCAGGTCGTTCCTTCGAAGACGGTGGCCAGCAGAGCCTCAAGGGGCCCGGGGCTCCCCAGTCACTAGACGCAAGTGTGCAGAGCTGACCGAGAACAAGCAGTCCAGTGCACCTGGAGCCGCCTCTGTCTGCAGCAGGTGCAAGGGTGCTGGGAGCCAAGGGCCTGGGGCTCGGAGAGGGCCCGAGGGACCTCCACAGGGACTGGCTACGGCCCCACTCCCCGGTCCCCACAACCCCCCGACCCCACTCCAAGCCACACGTGTGGCACAACCTCAAGCGGCGTCCGAGCCAACCCCAAAACGTCTGCTCTGGACCCTGCAGGGCAGCCACAACGCAGCTTTCACCAGCCCGGTCCCCAGGACGAAGCGGCAGCGTGATCATGGGGACAGAGACACCCTTCTGATGTTAAGGATCTGAAACCGCAGGACAATGGGACCACAGCACGGAGCCTGGACTCCAGGGCCCTGGACTTAGAGGTCAACGCCAAGGTCGGACAGGTGAGGCAGGCACCGCCGAGCTCCGCGGTAAAGCAGAGTCACTGGGATAGTTCCTTCGAGCATCTGTGTTTGGGGACAAGGCATACGAGAGAAGGGGGCCCTCCCACCACCCGGCACAGCTGGTCCATCCACAGAATGGCCACTCGGATGCCCCGCATGGGTGCCACCTGGCACCCAGGGTCCCACACGGGGAACCATGTCAGAGACCGCCACGTGTCTGATGCACCAGTGTCACCGCAGACGCCGACCTCAGACCTCAAAACCCAGCCGCCGCAACCTCCGGGAAGGGAGGCCGGGCAGCCGAGCCTCAGGCACGAGCTCTGCAAGGCCCAGGCCCCCAGCGGCCCGGCACCTGTGCTTCCTTCGAACCCCCACGCAGGAAAACAAAACAAAGTTCACGAGTCAGTTCTCGACTTTTGTTCGTGAACTTTCTTCATGTTGAGTAACTTGAATTTTCCTTCTGAACGATTCCGTGTCCCTGGCGCATGCAGTCTGAGCAGGGTCCACACATGAAAAGCACAAATCCTTCCTCAACACGGGACTCAGACTGTGTCCAGGTGACACGCAGCATGCAACGCTGACAAGCCTCTGTCCCCGGAGGGAAGCTGGCGGGCTGGACAGGAGGCTGGGGGTGCAGAGCAACGGCACAGGGATGGCCACCACTGCCGGGCGAGACCGCGCCACCAGCCACCACCCTGCTGCACCGTGGTCGCCTCCCCGGCCTGCCCCGTGCAGACATCGCTGCCCCCTGCGCTGCAGCCCTCGGCCTGCCGCCACATGGGAACCCCCTCCCAGAAGCAACAAATTCAGTGTCCTGAGCACAGGCAGGCGAGAGCGCGCTTCAGCCCAACAGAATCCCCTCCCAGAGCTGCCAGGCCCCCCACGCCGCACGGCCACCGGCAGGCTCCCCGGGGCCCCTCTGTCCGGGAGCCATTCCTGCACCGAGGTGCCCCGGGAACATGTTCCCGAATGTGTGCCCACCCTGAAGAAGAAATCACCCAAGGCTTGGGAACGTGGCACAAAGCTGCCCCGGGACGCGCTAGGCCACACCAGAGCACACAGGCTGTACCGCCTGGGGCTGGCGTCCAGGTGTCCTGAGCCCAGGGCTCAGGCGGAGCTCCGGGGCATCTGCCCCCAGGAGGGGCCCCAGCGCCCCTTCACTGCTGGCCGACACCCGCATCTGCAACGCCGGACCCGAGCTGCAGGTCTGCGCAGGCAAGCAAAGCCTTCTGCCGGCAGTGAGGAGCCCCGCGGAGGGGACGGTCGGACCACCCTGCACGGCCTTCGCCAGCTCTGTGCCCAACTGCAATTTTGTGCCACATCCTTTTCTCACTTAGTGCGTGGACCCTTCTTTTGGGACAGCTTAGAAGACAAAACTAAGCGTCTGGCCTGAGCTCACCGTACAATCCGTATGGGGCTCGAGGCTGTCATTTCTTGTGACTTACCCCGACAATCTTTTCAAGACCCCATTACTCATGCTGGTTCAACAGCATCAGAAACCACCCCGCCCCCGGAAGGTGCTCTGGCTGCCGCCACCCCCCCCAGGGAGGGTTACACTCTGGGAATGCAAGGCAAGCCCCCAAGTCTCTCCACAGCCAAGGAGAAGGGACTGGACATGACGGGAGTCCGTCCCTGGCCTCTCGGGTCCAAGACTTGTGCCAGGGTCAAATCAGTGCTTAGAGGGGCTGATGGTACAAACGGACAAAGCCGTGAGATTTCAGGGAGAAGAATCAAAACCCTGTGATCCCAGGACTTTCCAGGAGGCTCACTCCTTCCGCACTCGGCAGACGGAGTCTCGGTGCTACAGCAAACAAGAAGTCTCGCCGGGAAGCACGGGCCTCGTTCTGAACTCAGGAGATGCCCCTTGGGCCGGCTCTGCTGGGGACAGCACAGCCCCCATCCTGCCACGGGAGCCTGGCTGTGTGGCGAGGAAGACCAGCAGGGGGCCCATCTCTGCACACCTTATTCTTGGGAACGGGGCTAGGCTTATGGCGTCCTTCCAACCAGACAGACAGGACTCCCTAAATCACCGTCCTAACGGTGACTCGTTCAGGCGAACAGAATCGACAAGCCTGCCCCCTGCCCGAAGACTACGCGGTACCAGGAGCTGACAATCGATCCCAGGAAAATGTCCACACGGTCATTCACGGCAGAATGAGCTCTTTCTGAACTCATACAGCCCTTCCGACTCCCTCCATCGGTCATTCAATTACCCAGGAAAAGGCTAATGTCTCCCGAGGGACTACCTGCTTGTGCTAGCACCGCCCCGGGCGGATCCAGGAGCCACATGGGCCAGCCCCGTGTACACTCCGCTGTGGCCCAAAGCCCCAGGACACCCATGGTCAAGCAGTGGCACCTTCCTTCCATCCTCCACAAAACCCTGAGGAGGACCAGGAGGGGCTGCGAGGGGCCACCTGTCTGACAGAAAGTTCTGGGGCAGGAAGGGGACAGCTGCGACGGTGTGTTCTGCTGAGGCCCACACTGAGCCTCGCACGTACCGTCACATCACCCTAACACAGGGGACCGAGGACGCATGTCTTCCCCTACCACACAGCACACGACGGTCACCGTGCTGCTCCCCGTGGTGACAACTAGGATGGGCACGAATGCGTCACACTGACAAAGAATTCAAACCCCCTGACCCGGGACTTCAGAACACAAGTCACAGCCACAGAACAGCTGTCCTCTCGGAAATAACCCGGGACCTTCTACGGGAGCTCACTTCAAAGCCTCAAAGCCTCACTGGGGCTCTACGAGAGATTACAAGCCGAGAAGCCGGAGGAAGGCAGAGCCGGGCTCTGGGGACACAGGTCGTGAACGCCCAGTGCGTCCAGGGCGGGACCAAGACGCTCCCCTGGGGAGGCAGGGGTGACAGGAGGGCCAGCCGGGTACTCAGCTGTCTCTGTAACCAAGCGCAGGGGGAGGAACAGGGTGAGGAAGCAAATGCAAGACATCCCAGCACCAAGGCCGCGGGGTGCCCGCAGGTTGCGTGAGCGGCTCGAGCTCAAGCACTAAGTGCAAAGTGACAAAAGGCGACATTTAAGATAAAAGCAGCACCTGTCATCCTCTGCCCAAGACAACACACTCCATAGCATTGTGGAAGACGGGCACCCCGTTTTAATTGGGGGAATCTCACAGGAGGGGAGCTGAGAGCAAGGGGCCTCCTCCCACCGCTGTGCTCTGAGCAGCCGCTGGCGCGCCCCCCGCCCAGCCCCACCACACTCAGGTCAGGACACAACAGCACAGGAGCGATTTCGGTCCTCTCTGGTCTCGGGAGGGAGGGGCAGCGCCCCCGAGGGGAAGCTCCGCTTTGGTTTCCCTTTGCACACCTGCAGAGAGCACGGAGGGGTCCCAGGGGCTGCTGGTGGCCTGCTGTCTGCTTGGCTCGTCCTCCTCTTCACGCATGTGCTGAGACTCGGGTTTGGGCAGGGAGGCCGGCCTGTGAGACCTCAGCGACGGGCCGCTGGTGCCGGCGGGCTGGGAGGGCAGCGCGCTCTGGCCTCTGCGCCGGCACTCCTCCAGGAGCGCGTTCTCATCGGCCACACCTGCAAGCACAGGACGGGGCGGGCATCAGCTCACGGCTCCTCTCTGCACCTGTCCTGGGGCCCCCACGCTTCTGCAGAAGGAAGACGCTGGGTCCACCACCTACGCTATCCGGGCCTGACCTTAACCTCTGAGGGGGGGCGGGGAATGGACAGGCCCAGGGCACACCAGCAACTTCACACGTTGTCAGGAGAGCGCACGGCCTACTGAAAGCCATCGGGGGCCAGACTTTCCACGACAAATTCACCAAAATCAACCCAGTGGTTAGCACCCTGCCAGGAAAAGGCTCCAGATGCAGCCTCCCATCCCGTTGCCGGGCAGCCTGGATTCTAGAACCTTCCCTCTAAGGCGAGGAGAGGTCCGCTGGCCGGGAGGTGGGACCTCACGGCCTGTTTCCCTGCCCGCACAGAGCCGAGGCCGCGACCGCACAGATCGTCTGTTGTCACCCCAGAGACACACCCGAGGTGGGACCGTCCTCACTGCTTGGAAAAACGTGTGTCTACTTGTAGAAACAAAGTGGTTTCGCACGTTAGACACAAGAAGTAAAATCAGAAAACAAGCTATAATGACCACTGAAAGATCTTGGATTTCATTCTCTGAAGGCTCTTGACAGCCAGAGGCACAGCTTAGAGGAAGCTGCCCTTTGAGTCTGCAGATGACGCCGTCACTCGCCCCCATCCCCGGGAACAAGCCGGGGGGAGGCCGCTCCCTGAGCCTTGTAGTTGCTCTGCCCCGTACAGGGAGGTGGGGGCATCTACCATCCGGGGAGCAAGCATCACTGGATGGCCAGACAGCCCACGCGTAGAACCAGAGCCCCATGGAAAGGCCGCCGTCTTCCTGGCGTGACCTCCAGACGCACAGGTCTCTGCACGCACGGCCCGTCAGAGCAGCACTGGCTCCACTTCCCAAGACGCAGTGCGTCGGGCCGTCTGCACGCTTCCCGTGACAGGTGCGGGCACACCGCTCTTTCACAGCAGAGCCCGGCTCGGCGCTGGGCGGAGAGCGCGCCCGCCTCCGTTCCTCCAGGGCCCGCGGAAGCCCTTCTCCCGGATCAGCTTCGGAGCCTCCAGCTCCGGCCCCCGAGCCCTGGTGTGACCTTTGCCCTCACACGAGAGCACTGACCACTGCAGTCATGGGCACGCTGCAGGCGGCAAACCCACACCAGGAAGAGAAAGTACTAGAGAAACAGGAAGTCGTAGGGCAGCCCGCAACCCGCAGCTGGCACGACGAGTTTTCCCGAGTGAGTCTGAAAACCCCCCAGCTCTGGACGCAACATGGGCACTCCACGTGTTCTGGCCTTCGGACCCCCGGCCCCACAGCGAGGCCTGGCTACGAGCCCCCACCCACTTCTCCCCCGCATCCGCCCACACGCCCCACCTGCCGGCCTAGACGATGTGTCAGCTCTGGGGTCGCTGACGCAGGTGGACCTTCACAGAGGGAGGGAATGCTCGGCGGCCCACGCGGGGCCCGGGCAGGCGTCTCCGGGAGGGGTCTCTGACCCACTGCAGGCTTCTCAGACTCAAACCTGAGCTGGTGACTGAGTCAGAGGACTAAGAGGCCAGGGATGTCCGGACCTGGCAGTCACGTCACTCTGGCGTTGGCACCTCAGCCAAAGACCACCCTGCGTCTGCAGCAGGAAGGCAGTCAGTGGGGACCCTAGAACAGAGCCAAGATCGAGGCTGGGGGAGCACTCAGGGGGAGCCCACCGCTTCAGGGGTCTGTGGTCTGCAAGAAGCATCATGTTGTTTAGGGCAAGTACAACTACAGTATGGCTCCCAGATACACGGCAAAGGCCCCACGGAGTGGGCGACAGGAGTCCCTGCTGGACGGGGACGTGACTTCAAAGCCTGCATTTGCAGTGGGGGTGGAAGAGGGCGGGGAGCCAGGACCTCAGTGTTTGCGGAAGCCCCGCTGCCAGCCACACACAGGGAGGGGCCTGTGGCCGGGGCACCAGAGCACTGGCCGATGGGGTGGCCCAGACACCATGACCAGCTCGGCACCCTGAATGTTACAAGGCCCCTGCTCAGCCTGCTCTCCACCTGGGAAGGAGGCTGGGACCCCAGAAGGACAACGGGCCGCCCCTCCCAGCCCCACAGTGTCACACCTCGTGATCAACCGTGGGACCCTGAAGAATTCGTCAGCACGAGTTCAGAACATGGTCCGGACCTCCCCATATGTGCCTGGCTTCGTGGGCAGCCGGCCCGGATGTGGCAGGGGCACCGGGACCGGGGTCCATGGGGGGAGCCGCGCCCATCCCCGCTTACTTACCATACCTAGGGGCACTCGGATCCGAGGCTCTCCCTGCCAGCCACTCCAGCGCCCGTCAGAGAAGAGGTGGCCTTCTCCCTGTCGCCTCCACAAGCACCTGCAGCCACAGCTACCCAGGACCACCCCCACGGAGTAGGAGGCGGCTGATCAGGGCGCAGACCTCCGGCCTTGCTTCCGTCATACGAGGTGGAAGGCCGCCACAGGGCCGCACAAGCCACCGTCCGGGGAAGAAGCGCCAGGCCTGGGCCATCCTGCCCGCGCCCAGGCCTCTCTGCGCTAAACCCACCGCGCTCCCCAGGCCCAGACAGGCACGTGCACCGGCTTCCAGGGCCGCGTCAGGTTCTGGGTTTGCTGTGTGGTTAGAATCCCAAAGTCTCTAAGAGGTTAAGCTCAACGACAGTCTGAGAAGGCTCTGAACATGGAGACAGAAAACACGCGCACGCCGAAGGCTTCCATGCCCTCCACAACTCAGGGAAGGAGCCGCGTCTCCCATGTCCCTTGGATCCGGACACGCTCAGAGCCCAGGAGGTAAGCACGTCACTGACTGCAGGAGGGCACGGGAAGCTGGGGTTCCGCGGGGCGACCCAGGCATGAGGCTCCTGTCCCAAGTGCCCAAGCCCACCCACCGGCTCCGGACAGAGGTCGGTGTCTGTCTCCCGTGCTCCCCAGCAAATCCTAGTGCCACTGGGCTCAGGCCTCGTGCCCACGAGGCTCCTTCCCTCGAGCCCCACTGCACAGGCCCCGCCGTGGCCATCAGCGCGTGATCAGGGGTGGGCGGCCAGGGCTGAGAGCTAGGCTGTCGGGTCCACAGCGACCCTGTCAAACAGTGCTCAGACATGCAGCTTAGCACCTACTGTCCCACATGTCACTGTCTTCCTGACCCCACAGTTGACCCTTAAGAGGGACACAGTGACCTTTATGCTCCCCCAGGCCTATCACTCCACCAAGAGCTCCTGAGGTCTTTGGGTCTGGAGCAAGGACCATCATGTCACTGACCCCACAAAATTCCCACAAAACTGGACAGTGTCTCAAATACCAGAAAAAATGATTTAGAGAAAAGAGATAAAGGAAGGAAATGAGAAGCAAAGATTAAATCATGGTCTTACCCCAAAATCCTCGCTGGAAACGTTCTGCAAGGGCTCAGTCCCCACGGACCCAATCATGCACTCACTGGGCCCACTACGAGCGCACTAAGCTCACAGGCCTGACAGATCTGTGGAACCAGGAGGCCACCATCCTCTCCCTGTCAGAGGCATGTACGCCTTGGGACTGAGGAAGGGGATACAAGTGCTGGTTTGAAGAACGACGGCGTTATACCGGACCGTTCAGAGCCCCCGCGCGGTGCCCTCCCTCCCGCCACAGAGCCCACAGCACGGGCAGGGGCTCTGGTCCTTGCAGAGGGGCGGGAAGCCCCCCAGGCGGAGTGCCCCTCACCACGGCAGACCCACAGGCATGGGGATGGGGGAAGGAGAGGGAGGAGCGTCTGGAAGGAGGACACCCCGTGCCCCATATCAGAATGGACTGGGTTACAAAGGGGCAGGTCGGGCCCCCACTGCTCCCACCTCGTAGCAACAAAATAGGGAGCTTCCGAGGGTCTGGCCGCGGCAACAGACCCGGCTTCCCCTCACCTCAGCTTCAAAGCAGTCCCGTTCACCGTCCCAAGCACCGACGGCAGCACCGGATACCGCGCCTGGGCCAGAGCACGCCTGCCCCCCGCCCTCCCTTCAGAGCGTCTATTCCGGCTTCGGTTCTGACGGAAGCCCAGGGACACAGGAGAGCAGGGTCGGGAGTGCTCCGACTGCCAGCCCGGGGCCGCGGGCCACACGCCTGGTTCCCTGCTGGGCGCTCGGGGACGGCGGCGGGCAGCGCACTCCTGGGCAAGCCCGTCCAGGGGCAACTCGCCAATGCACGGGGGCCCCGGTGGCACCGACGACTTTCTGAACTAAAAGCAGCCCGACGACATCCTCCGTACGTCACCCCCCAGACCCAACGCCACGCGGAAAGCCACGTTTTGTTTGCTTCCACAGGTTTCTCCAGACGTTCTGTCCTTCGTGAAGTACCAGACCCGACCCTCCCGTGGCGCGCAGCACGCGGCAGCAAGTTCAGTAGGCTGGTTTGTACCGGACGACGCGGACACCAAGTACCTGGAAAACAGCCGCATGGAGCTCCGCGACCCACACGCAACTTACTATCTCGCTGTGATTTCCGCCGCCTCTTCTCTCGCGCACCAACTACGCTTCCTGCGCGGACAAGCGTCCGAGCACCGTTTTCATCTGGAAAACTAAAGACGCCGGAACTGGTCCCGCCCCCTGGCACCAAGTTACAAGATTTAAAAACAGACGCGGCCTGCCCGGATCCCGAGCCAAAGCACACTGAAGTCACCGGGAAGCTATGAAAGGAATGCGCCGCGGCTGACTCGGCACCGGCCACCCATCTCGCGCCTCGCTTTTCTCCCCAAATGGAGCCCAGACACGGCGCCTGCACTCTGGCTTGATGATGTGCAAATGAAAACAATCCTCCAGAAATAACAGAATCACTTTTCCCCAAATAAGTACAATCCAAGAAGCCTCGCTTGTGACTGCTTTTCCGTGGCAGGGGCACGGGCAAGGCAGGGGCCACACACACTGAAACCATGAGCGTTCCCACCCTCAGAGGGAGCAGACACAAACACCCAAAACGTACCCCCAGCCCGTCGGAAGATTCAGTCAAACCTCAGGGCCTGGCCTGTGCCGGT